TCTATCAATGCAGGTCAGCACCTCCTCTGTAACTTATGGTTTTAGAGTTGCCTAGAGCACTGAAAGGTTAAGTAGCTTGCCTGGGGTCACACAGACAGTATGTTTCTGAGGTGGGACCTGAACTTCCTGGCTATGAGGCCAACTCTCTATTCATTACACCATGGCTGCCTCATGCATTTTATAAACTTAATGTAATATAAAACTATGCCATTCTTTAAATTAAAATTTGAAGGACTTTACACCATTCATTGTTTAAAGCAGATGTTTACAAATGGCTCATGTGGACAATAACATTTTTCCATACATTAAAGTGGAACTTCACTGGAATGAATACCAGACAACATCAGTAACCCTAATAAGATTTCAGGCTTAATTATTTTTGCCAGCAAAACACTTAATTCTGGACTTGTGTAGGGTCCAGAAATCTACAAAAGTTGGTCTAGTCCATTACTAAAACACTACAACATTTAACATATCAAATGAGCGCTTAGCAACAGGTTGGATCTTTATTTTACTTTAAATCAGGGTGCCACAGTGATAAGAAACTAGTATTTCATTTGTTAAATCACTAACATGCCACCTTCCCCAGTCCCACCCCAAGTTGGCAAATGTAGGGCAGTGGGGGGGGGAACACATTGCATTTGGATTCCCTGGACTTGGGTCCAAATTTCATTTGTTTTATTTGTGATGACATTGGGATTCACCTCTTTGGTCTCAGTTTCCTCACTTACTCAACAATTTATGAACATGTTTACCAGAGAAATTTTCAGGATAAAATAGTAAAGCATTAAATCTCTTTTAGTCTCAGTTTTAGTAAGCCAAAACACTACTTAACAAAACTGACCCCTTTAAGTTTCCGAAGGGCGAAGTTTTTGATGCTTTCTACATTCACTGAATACTATACGCAGAAGAAAAGTCAATAGAAAGTATATTTCTCAATAATTGAAATAATGGAAAATCTGATCTACAACGTCACATTAGGGTATGGGGCATTCAAGGACAACCAGCATCTGGCACTCAACTCTCACCTATGGCTCCAAGAAGCTGTAGCATATGCAGCAGCCACATCCAGGTAAACCGTCTCAGCAGACAGCCTAAACCAGGTTTAGGCTAACCAACAGGGCTCAAATCTGTCAGTGAGTTGGGGGGGGGGGGTGTCTACCCCAAGCATGTAAAGACTTCCCCTGGTGGAATGAGTAGATGACAACAATTTGTTCCAACAGCCATGAAGGCAGCTGCAGCAGGTGCTGTGGGGCTCTTAAAACTTGGCCAGACAACAAAGAAAATAAGGTCATCCCTTAGATCCTGGGCCATCACCAGTCATCTCGACTTTTGTCCTGCCACTAGACTTTGATGACTCTGAAAGAGAGAATGAGGCTGACAACTCTGTGCAACTCCATCTTACTTAAATCTAATTCATGTGCTAGTCTAGACATCATCCCATGATGTCACTGGTCTTCCATAACTAAGGACAAACAAGGGTCAAAAACAAATGTAATCAAACTTCACTCCAACCATCCAATATAGAGCTTCAGGGGCCATTTATATCCTTTATTCAGTAAAGGCCTCTTGTAACAATAAAAACCCTACTAACCTTGAGATAGTATAGTGTAGTAGAAGCAATGCATTATATTGGAAAGATCCCAGTGGTCATAAAATTAAGACCCAGGTACAAGCTCAGTTTCTGCCATTTTCTAGTTGTATGACCATAACAAATTATTAACATCTCTGAGTCTGAGTTTAACCATCTGTAAAATGGGCTGATATTTGCACTCCACCCTATAGGACTATAGTGATAACTAAGTGAAATCATGTAGGCAAAATACTTTGTAACTGTAAAATGCAAACTATTTAATTCCAAATATGAATTTACAATAGCCCACTAGTTTAAAGGCAAGGCATTATTAGTCACTTTTACAATGGGGTCAGTCAAGTTTCTGTGAATATTTTGAGACTAAGGAACTTTGAAGGTAAGCTGCTATAAGTCTAGAAACCTAAAGTGATCTCCAAAGATAGGGTACATAACCCCAGTGGGTAACTAATTGGAGGGTGAGAAGATGGGCTGCTTCTTTCCCCTACCCTTCAGAAGGCAAGCACTGGGCCTAGAGTCAAGAAGGCTGTTTCCCAAATTCAAATCCAGCCTTAAACACTTCCTAGATGTGTGTCCCTGAGCAAGTCACTTAACCCTGTTTGCCTCAGTTTCCTCATCTATAAAATGAGCAGAAGGAAATGGCAAATTACTCCAGTCTCTTTGCCAAGAAAATCTCAAATGGGGTCACAAAGAGTCAAATAGGACTGAAAAACAACTGAAAAACAAATTTATAAAAAACTACAAACAGGATAAATTGAAAATAATCAACAGACAGGATGCACTAGAACTATGGGGAATCAAGGGAGGCTTCCTGTATAAAGTAAGCTTTTAACTGCGACTTAAAGGAAGGTAGAAGGTGGAGAGGAGGAAGGAGAGCATTCCCGAAATGAGAGACAACCAGCAAAAATGGCTGAAGCAGAGAGATAGATGTACAAGACACAGCAAGGCCAATGTCCCTGGACTACAGAATAAGTGGCAGGGTATAAGATGTAAGGAAAGAGGGAGAGGGTTATGAAGGGCTTTAATTGTCAGAGGATTGACTCCATGATGTTAAACTGATATTCCTAAAGGGAAGGTCTGACCATGGCCCTGTGCTACTCAGTAAATTCCAATGGCTCTCCATTGACTCTAGGATTGAATACTACTCCATCTTTAGTTCATCTTTTTAAAAATGTCTATTTTTATGCCAATTTAATAATGAACACGATTAATAGTAATTACATGGTTTGCAAATATACATTGGTGTATATGCTCAACATCTTTTTACTGATGGGGTACAGTATCAAAAAAACTTGGAGACCACTGCTAAAAGAACAAAGAACTATGAAGAGACAAGTTCCTTTGCTCATTTTTTTCCCCTTCCCCACTTTTTTTTTAATTTATTTTGAGTTTTCAACATTCACTTCCATAAACTTTTGAGTTTTAAATTTTGTCCCCCTCCCTCTACTCCTGCCTTCCTAAGACAGCATGCAACCTGATATAGGCTCTACATATACATTCCTAGTACACATTCCCTTCCCCACTTTTAACAAGGACCCTGAATTTTTTAAGCTAAGAGTAGGTATCAGTTGGTAGAGTGTGCCTTTCCAGTCCAGCTAATTCTTCATCATTGCAACCATGTTTTATTTTTAAATATACTGTATTGTTTATGAATCAGAATGGTCTAAGAGAATGATTTAGCCCTTAGCATGAGCTCCATCTGGTGGTTTAAAGGCAACTGCGTATGAGAAAATTCCCATTCACTTTAGAGAATCAAGCAGAATGGTAAAATGTGAGAGATCTAGGAAACTGGGGATCAGAGAAAAAAATTGCCCGATATAAGCCTGGTTTGAAAATGGTGAATAGCAAAAATACCAAGAAGCAAACTCCAGATCAAAGCAAAGAAGTTCCAAATGGGTAGGACAAATGCCAGGGTCTATCTTTTTTTAATGATAAATCAATAGATTTGCCAGGTTCACAGAGCCCAGAACAATGCTGTCCCAGTTGCCTGGCTCCCTCCTTTGGAGAAGCCTCTAGAGCTAGAATTCTTTTTTTTTTTTTTGGCTAGGCAATGGGGTTAAATGACTTGCCCAGGGTCACACAGCTAATTAGTGTTATGTGTCTGAGGCCAAATTTGAACTCAGGTCCTCCTGAATCGAGGGCCAGTGTTCTATCCACTGCACCACCTACCTGCCCCTAGAATTCTTTCCACTGCAGCACATCTAGCTCTATTTCTTCATTCTAAATGATAAAATCAAGGCCCAGAGATGCCGTTGCTCAAGGGCATCCATCAAGTTAGCTGCAAAGCCAGAACTCATGCTCTTCCCTTTGCACCAGGTTGTCTCTCCTTTGGATTACTTAACTAATCTGAAAATCAATCTTACTTTTATTAACACAAGTAATTTTATGTATACAAACTTAATAAAAGTACTATCTAGGAAACATAGATAAGACAAAAATATGATAGGCCATTACCTAAAAGATAAGTGGTTCTCAAAAGAATTACAAACTATTAATCCTATGAAAGACACGCTCCAAATCGCTAGTAGTAAAGAAATGTAAATCAAAACTCTGAGATTTTGCCTCACACCCAGCAAATTGGCAAAAATGACAGAAGATGAGAATAGTCAATGTTGGAAGAGTTATGGAAAGATAGGAAGACTAATGCATTGTTGGTGGAGCTATGAATTAGTTCAACCACGCTGCCATGTTATTTGGAATTATTTGAAGAGAGTGACTAAAATTTCTATATCCTTTGACCCAGAGATTCCACTATTAGGAAATCAGTATCAAAAAAGAAAAGCTCCATATGCACCAAAATATTGCACTTTTTGTGGTAGCAAAGAATTAGAAACAAAGTGGATGCCCATTGACTGTAAAAGAGCTAAGTAAATTGTGGTAGATGAATGCAATGGAATATTACCGTATGTGTACTTAACTATTAATATAGTGAACACTGAAAAGCATGGAAATAGTTGTATATGGCAAAATAAGTAAAACCAAAAAAAACCCTCAATATATACAATGACTAAAATAAGTGAAAAGAACCAAATAAATAAAACCAGGTGCTTCAAAACTGTGACTACACTTGACCCCAAAAAAGAGATAAGGCACTTCTCTTCCAATTTTTTGCAGAGGTGGGAGACCATGGATGTGGAACTTTTTCAATATGTTAGAGTTTTGCTTAACTTTAACTTTTACTCTTTATTATACAGGATGGCTCCCTGGGAGGGAGTGAGGGAAAAGATACAGTAGGGAATAAACATAATACAAAAACAAAGGGTAGCAATAACAGTGTATTTGGTAAAAGAATGCAAGTATCAGTTATCCACCTTAGTGGCAAAGAATTCATTTCTTAATGACATATAAAAGCAAAGTTTCAGACTTCATGATTTAAACAGAATATAGTTTTTTATTTTTTTATTTTTCCTTATAGAGCAAAAAAAAAACTGTAGGAACACAAGTTCTGTTTAGATAAACAACACTTATGTCTAAGAAATTATAAAAAATATGACACCTTTTGTTTTTTAGAGTGGGGCTGTCTAAAATTTGATAACAGCCTATGTTGTATCTTTATCATATATATTTGCCAAAAGTGCAAGAATATGTAATGATTACACAGTTCATCTGCTGAAAACTGCTGGATCAGATAAATCACTGACACAGACAAAAGTTTGGTGCAGCTAACACTGACAAACAAAAAAGAATGTTTAATAATGAAGACTCAAATGAAGTATGGAAAAAAGATATTTCGTGTTTCAGCCGAAGTAACTGGTGAAGGCAGACTACGGAAACAAATGATTTTCATTCAATCAAAGTATATATTCTGAACAAACATGTCCACGTGATGTGTTTCCAGGCCTTTAAACTCTACCAGGCCAGACCCTTTGCTGCTTTTGCTGCCTTCACTTTGTTTTTCCCTTTGCCCCGTTTTGCCTTTAGTTTTTTCCTTTGCCTCGGGTGCATCCAAACTGGGTACTGTCCATGTTCATCTAAAAGACTCTTTTTGTTTCTTTTAACATCCACTTCCATTTTCGATTCACCTGAAAAAGTAATGAAAATCTTATTATGAAAACTGCAAAACACTAGCAAGATTTTGTAGGATCCAGGAAAGAAGCAACTGGCTTATTACATCATAAGACTTCAGTTTCTATAAATATTAATTAAATGTTAAAGTGTGATATAGAGGACCTATGAAGGAAGATGCTTTCTACTTCCAGTGAAAGAATTGATAAAAAGAAGTGTGCATAGTATGGTTTTACATATATTTATAAATTTGTGTCAAATGGTGGCCTTCTCTGGTGCACAGTGGGGGCGGGGGGAAGAAGGGAAGGAGACAGTTTGGCACCTAAAATATAACCAAAAAAACTTAATTTAATTAAAAAAAAAAAAGAAGAAAAATGTAAGAGCAAATAAAATACTTTCAGCTGGAGGGATCAAAAAGAATTTCCAGAAGAGATGACACCTGAAAGGAAGCTTAGAGGAAGATACCAGATTCTGAAAAGCAGTGATGAAAAGGGAATTCATCCAGGAACAGTGGCTGTCTTACACAGATGCTTGGAAGCAGAAGGAATATAAAATCAACTGGTTTTACAAGTCCAGGTTTGCTTAGAACATGTGAAGTAAGAAGCAATGAGTAATAAGCCATACTGTGGAGGGCCTTAAATGTCAGGCTAAATAAAGACTCTGAATTTTCCCTTAGCAATAGGGAGCCACTGAAGGCTTTTTGGGGAGAGACATGGGCAGATCAGTGATTTGGGAAATTACTTGGCAGTTGTATGAAGAATAAATTAGAGAGAGAATAGAAACTCAGAATCAAAGAGACCAGAAAGGAAGTTATTAACAATAATCTAGATGAAAGGTGAAGAGGGTTTGAACTTGAGGGTAGGGTAGCATCATGACAAGGGGAAAGACACACCTAGAATTTAGAGGTCTTCGCAAGTGGTTAAATGTGAGGAATAAAGGAAAGGGAAGAATCAAAGAAGATTCCAATGTTTTCAAACTGAATGTGTAGGAGGATGGTGTTGTGATCCATGAGATGAGTAAATTTAAGGGTGTTGGAAACTGATATACTGAATCTGAGTTGCCTATAAGACATCTAGATGGAGATGCTTAGCAGATATTTCCTTCAGAACTGAAGTTCAGAGGAGGGGAAAAAGACTGACTATACAGATTTGGAACTCACCTGCATAGAGGTAATAAATAATTAATAAATAAATAATAAATAATTAAAGCCACAGGAGTAAATTCTCACCAAGGGAGAGAATGCAGAGAGAAAAAAGAGCTGAAGACAGAGGCACAGGAGACCCCTACACTTATGGACAGAAGAACGATGATAAATAAGCAAAGGAGAAAGGTAAGAACCAATCAGTAAAGGAGGAGGAAAAAGACAGCAGTATCACAGAGACCAAGGAAGGAAAAAGCATTCAGAAAGGGTAGATGTCAACAGTATAAAATACTTCAGGAAGTTCAAAGAAGATGAGAACTTTGGCTTTGGCAATCCAAGTCTGACGTAGACAGAGCTGCTAGCCTCAGTGTCTGCTGAGCTACAGCCATAGAGTGCTGAGAAAGTGGACTTTGGGGTATTTGGGGTCAGAGGAGCTCTCAAGGAGAGAAAAGAACTGAAGAAGCTGCCGTGGGGAGTGTGAGAGAGCATCAGAGATATAAGAAAAGATGATCATGTAGCAATAAGGATCCAATGTTTTTGTACCTCCATCCCTTCACTCAAACTTTCTGCTGTGACTGGAATGCCCTCACCCTCTGCCTACTGAAGTCTCACTCATCCTGTAAGTTCAAATACCACCTCCTACATGAAGCTTTCCTTGTTCCCCCAACTAAAAGGAACCTCTTCATCCTACTTGTCATAATACATTTTTACTTTTCTTAGACATTTATATGCTATTTTTTATAGTGTATGAGTCATCTCCTATACTAGACTATTGGTCTCTTGATGGTAAGGACTATATCTCATTCATCTTTGTATATTCCCTTGAAAAGTCCCTTGCATATAACAGGGACTTAATAAAAACATGCCAAATTAATAGTTAAATATTGAAAAGAAAGTGTGATACAGAAAACTGGCTATCCAGAGAAAAGAAAAGCAGAGTGGGATGGAGGAAGATGCCCAGTTATTAGTCAATTAATTAACGAGCATTTATTAAATGTCATTTATGGGCCAGGCACTGTGTTATCTAGTTGCCAGAAATATGAAGAATGAAAAAACCCCTACTGTCAAAGAGCTCATATTTTGGGGCAGCTAGGTGGAGAAGTGGATAGAGCACTGGCCCTGAAGTCAGGAGGACCTGAGTTCAAATTCGACCTCAGACCAAACACTTGACACTTACTATCTGTGTGACCCTGGGCAAGTTGCTTAACCCCAATTGTCCAAAAAAAAAAAAAAAAAAAAAATAAAGCTCACATTATATATGTGTATGTGTGTATATATATATATATATATATATATGAAAATAACATGTCCATTCCTATTTATGTTGAGAATGAATACAAAGCTAAATATGTTTATGCTTTTTGTCAAGATTTCTAAATTCTTCTACAAGTTCTGATAGGCTTATGGAGTTAAAATTGGATGGGATAAATTAAAGCAAATAAGAAAGGTACCTCACATATACAGAACTCTATCTAGATACAATCACAATGAAATCTTTCTGTGGTACACATGATGGAGCTACTTCACACAAATGCCACAAATTTTGGCAACACATTGCCAAGATATATAGTGCTTCACCATAAATATATTTATTGACACAAACTTATTTCAAAGCACTTTATCATAGAGTCTGAAGGCACATAAGCCCTCAAGAATTGCTCTATTGGTTGCAGATACTGAAATACCACGATCTCTTAAGAATCAAAGAACAAAGAAGAAGGTACATGATGGGTATAAGAATCCAGCAGAAGACTTCTAATGGCGATTTATGCACAGGCAGCACAGGAGATAATATTAAAAAAAAAATATATGCTCAGAAAAGGTGTCAACTGGAAATTCAGTGAGAGAATGTGACAAAAGATGGTCCACCACAGTGCTCCACTGGTACTCACTGAACACAAAGAGGTTGAAGGTTTAGTGGATCTTCTGTGAAGGGTCTATGGGAAAACATAAACAAAAACTGCCCAGAAAAAGTCTGAAGCAAAGAGTGCCACACTGATAAGATCATAAATACACTGGAATACTTAAGCACAGGAACTAATGGGGTGTTGGGGGGGTCACAAGGAGGAGAGTGTTTGTGGGTACGTGTGTGTGTGTGTGTGTGTGTGTGTGTGTGTGTGTGAGAGAGAGAGAGAGAGAGACACACACACCAAGAAAGAAAAATGAAAGTGGGAAAAACAACTGTGCACATGAACTTACCCTCTTGATCTTTCCCCACAGAGTCTGTTTTCTCTTTGATTTTTCCAGGTGCTACCACGGTTACTATGTCTTTAACCTCTTCCATTAAAACATCACCATCTATTTTAAGTATACTTTTTAGGCGACTAAGTTCCTTTGGTGCATTCTTCTTTCTCTTTTCTGCACGCATCTTCCTTTTCCACTTACTCCGTAAGCTTTTTGCCATTTTTACCTAAAAGTAACAAAATAATTTTTCCAAAATTAGAAAGTTTGCTAACAAATTAACAAAGCAAAGATCTAAAAACCAGGCAATAAATTAAAGTCAAATTCAAGTCCAAGAAAAGGTAACAATCCACATTCTGCTCATGTTGATTTAAAAGGAAGAAACTTGGGAACATTATGTTTATTTAATACATACCTTTGAAGACCAATATTCTAATTTGTATTTAGAAGCCAAGAATTGTATTTAACACCCCGCCCCCAAATTTTTTTAAGGGCTTCAATGTAGTTTATCAGTGAGAATTTTGATATATGCAGCTAAAAGGCAATGGAGTCTTTGGAAAGACAAAGAAGTCCCACAAGCAAGGCATGATGCTACAATTAGTCAACATGTATTTAAGTTGTTACTATGTGCCAGGTGCCGTGCTACATGCTGGATATACAAGTACAAAGAATGAAACAATCCTTACTAGTGGAAGCTTACTTTCTAATGGTGAGGTCAAGGATATACAAAAACATATTTCAACACTGATATAAAGTTAATTTTAAAAACTGTATATACATAGATACAAAGTAGTTAAATATAAGGCAGTACAGGACGGAGGTCACTTCCCTTGGGGGAGGAGGGGGAGGATTAGGAAAGGCTTCATGCAGAAGATGGTACCTGAGCTGCATCTTTAAAGAGAGGGACTCTGAGGCATAGGTAAGGGGGCAGTGCACTGCAGGTATGAGGGATGTCCAGTGCCAAGGCACAGTAACTGGCATATAATGGACAGAAAGTAAATGTCTAATTGATTGCCTGATCACAGATTTAGAATTGGAAAGCACTCTCTTCTAGCCCCTTCCTTTTACAGATGAGAAGAAGGACAATCAGAGTAGTTAAGTGACTGATCCAGAATCTTAACTAGCAGAACTAGAACTCAAAACCCAGGTCTTCTGACTCCTTTAGCATTCTTTCCACTGCACTCCCAGGGGCTCAGGGTCCTCAACTCCTCACTAGATGACCTCCTGTATTCAGTAGGATGCCAGATCTTGCCATGTCGACCTTCACATCTCTCCTCCACGATCTCCAGCTACAACCTCAGTTCAGGGCCAAGTCAGCAAACATTTGCTAAGCACTTTCTATTCTCAGGCACTGGGAATACAAAGAAAAGCAAAAACATTCCCGGTCCTCTGGGACTTCACAATCTAAAGCCTTCTCTCTAGTACTCAGTCGAGACTTTTTTCTCATTCATAAAATGAAGGGCCTAGAATGGATGAACGAAATACAATTCCAGTACTAAATCCGTGACAAGTCAATCCTTTTTTGTTCGTGCCCATTATGTGGCATCCCCCTCCCATCAGGCCTGTGGTTCACTACCCCCTTACTTGGGTCTCAGAGCCCCTCATTTTCAAGATGCCCCTCAGGCACCATTTTCTGCATGCAGCCTGATACACACACAT